GAACTGCGGCGCAGTCTCTGCTGCCCGCCGTTCATAGGAGTACGGGTCGAGCGCACGACCTGATATGTCGTACGTGTTTCGACTTCGCTCGTCTGCGTAGTGGGCGGCTTCGTGTCTCCTGTTTCGGGACGCCGCGTCACCGTTCCACGCGCAGCGCGGCTCGAGTGCCGCGGATGCTGGGGGTAGGGGAGGATACGCTCGTGCGGCAAGAATGTCTCCCTGAATCCGCCGAGCCTCCGAGGCCAGTTCGTTCAAGTCGCGAAAGCGACTGCCTCGGAGATACGCCGCAAAAGTCGGGTGCGATTGTCTAATGACTCGCTGTACCCGCTCTGCATTGGGCGCTGAGGGTTCTGCTAGCTCAAAGAGCTCTTGCATCGCCCTAACGAACTCCAACAGTGACTCGTCTGGGTGTTGGGTCCGTTGTTCGAGCTCTCGCCTCATCCTGCGTTCGTAGTCTGCAGGGAGGAATTCCTGGCGAAATGCCTTGCGGAACTGCTCAATCGACGACAGCTGGCTTTCGGTTAGTCGGAGCCACCGCGCCGCTTGGTCCACCAACGAGATTGGCAAGATGCGTTCAAGTATCTCGTGGTCCGACATTCCCATGGCCTGTTGGTACTTTTTCAGGTTTTCGAGGAAGTCTGTCGCGCTCACTCGGTCTCCGTACCCTTGGTATGTCGGGATAGGGATTCTGACCGGTGGCCGTGTCGGCGGCGGGGGCCTAACTGCTGTTTGCAGTGCGCCCGTCAGGCTTTCGATCACCCGAGCTGCGTTTTCTAGCAGGGGGTGATATCCGCCTAGCGTGTTTTCTCTGTGGTGAGAATCGCTCTCCGCATGTGCGGCTGGCGGGTTGTTCCCTCTGTATGGGCCCGCCAAGTGGTTTGTTGCGCCTGTAGCAGCTGTGCTGTGCTGCGGCTCGTAGACGGCGTCAGTGTTATCTCCGTGCGGAGAAGCTGACGGCCAGTCTGAGGTTAAGAGATCGAAGCTTTAAGAGGCTGCATTTGCCTGCTGTTGCGTCATTGTCTCTTGTCTCGTCGGACCCGTGTTGACTTCGAAAGTCGCGGGTGGGCTTGGCTCAGCGATGAGGGCTGGCGCGCTCCGAGAAGGAGTGCCACGGTTGCATTCCGGGCAGTGTGTGTCATACCCATTAGAAAAGCTCGGCTGAAAGGACACTTGCTCATTGTGTCCGTGCGTGGCTGGTGTGGCCACAAAGCCGTTGAGTGGCATCGGGTTTCGGGCATTCGCCTCTCCCTCTGTCCACGAAGTTCTTGGCCGGAAATTGGCCTGGTTCGCTGTCATTGCGAGAGTGCTGCTTGGTTTGCAATCGCCGGACAGGCCGCACGTTGGGGCGCCAGATGTGGGAATCCCCTTCTTTGGGGGTACCACTTAGAAACACAGAAGGTTCCTTGGGTCCGGATAAAGACGTGTTTATTGACCCAAATGTCACACGCTTGCCCAAAGGCCAACAATGTTGGAGATGACGGCGCTGTCTCTTTTGACAGGATCACCAGTCGGAGTCCGCGCTGCCGCTATTGACAGTATCACGGAGGGGGAGGATCAGATAAGGATATGAAGGCTCCGTCGAGCAGAGCCTCCCCAAGCGAGAGTCCCGCCCGTTGGGCTAGGGCCGTCTTATATAGCCTGCGGGAATGGACGCGCCCGGGGTGGGTCGGATGTAGGTGGCTCCCCGGAGGGACGGACGCGTCCAAGTCATGATCCCGAGGGGCGTGCCTTAGGCAAATCACCCGAGAAGGACGAGGGAAAGCCGCCCACCAGAAAATACGGCTTCGCCCTCGCATCCGGACGCGCCCCCTACGTGGCGAGGTCCCACGGCCTGCCTGAGCTAGGCGTAGATAGGGATGCGGGGAACCCGTGGTTCCCACAAACTTCAGATGCGGCATTTGGAAATTGTTTTTTTACTTCACAATTACTGATTTCTCAAGTTTCAAATTTTGAAAGTAATGTGCCGGCATCGGTTTTCAATCGTTTTTGATAAGAAAAAAAAAAAGGATTTTGATGTGTCAGTGCCCCTTTAAGTAAAGCATACAGCAAATGAGAGATAATGTACTTAAAGTAAAGTGGTAAGTACGTGGGCTGCAATGTACTTGAAGTAAGGTGCTATAAATATGATGCACTTTCAAAGTAAAGTACATGTACACCTAACACAATCTTTCATGACGCCCTTCCACTCCTGTAAACATGTTTTTTTTTTTTAACTGGATACATAGCCCATCGGGTAATCTGGGGTACATCACTTATTTTCGAATATGGCGGTGAATATTGAATGAAGTAAAGTGGCCAAAAAGCTTTATCTTCAGAAATAACGCCCAACTAATAAGACCCTTCGATTTCTAACTTTGGCGCCGATTGCACTGACTTGTTGCACCCAAGGGGGTTAAACGTGCTAGGATAGAGCTTGACGTCAGCCCCGTGGCTTCCGCAAGCAATCCTCTTCTAGAGCAGTTCCTCTCCTTGACGAAAAAAATAATGAGTGTGCAGGCGAACTGGTGAGAATTAATCATAATGCCACACCTCAGGCTGTGGTGCTCATAAATAGAGACTGCAGAGGAGAACGTTTTGAAAAATTGAGACGTTCTCCTCTGTTTCCTTTTCCTTCGACTTAAAAGTTTTAGATTTTGTGCACCACAGTCTCAGTTATTACATTAAGACGAATTGTTTTCTCCAAATATTTTAACCTCCTCTCTTGTGCTAGCCGAGCGAAAGGTAGCGAGAGTCCGAAAAGCTACAGAGAAGCCGTCCCGACAACAAACGGAGCGATGAGTCATCTGCTCGCACTTCTTGTGTGAGTAGAATATCCCTGCGAGTATTTCTTCAGAGTTGACAACGCATCCTTTTGTGAAACAAATTTAACAAGAGCAACTTTGGGCAATGTAATTTGAAGTCGGGAGTTGCACTTTCCTCGGAAAGCATACGAAAAAAAATAAGAACTTTAGTAAAGTACAAGGACACACCCATATAATGCATTTCATGTAAAGTATAAGTTTTCTAAACCTACTTAAAGTTGTCCTTTAAGTACAATGCATTTAAAGTACGTCCCAAAACTGTCAATGCTTATATATTTCAATTGAAATGAGACAGTTGCTTTCAATGCAACAAATGAAACGTACACAGCAGTGCATTAAAACAAAGGTTGGGGCAAGTTGGTCCGTCTTGAATAAAAGGTTGGAAGCGCGAACAAAAACGGTGACCATGAAGATACACGCACGACCGGACAGACTTTTTACTCTCAACTCGTGTTTTAATAGTACCGTCGTCACCTATATTAGGGAGTTTTAGCAGGTCGTTTCCACACGAACGGTTCGCCCTCGAACGCATCCGCGACGCCACTGCGCATGCGCGCGCGAGTCGTTCGGGGAGTCGGGAGGCTCTTCTCGTTCGTTTCTCCCATTCCGGCCGCCCGAGTCGTCACCGCAACGCAGCCAGCACCGTTCACGACTCGGGTAAAAAAAAGATGGCGATCGGTTGGGCGACCGCCTTCGCCGACCCAGCCGAGCGTTAGGCTTAGGACAGAGGGAGGCGATTTGTCGTCCTGTTTAAATCTGCTTCATTTGAGAGGTTGAACGAAATCATTTCGAGGACTGCTCACAATGGTAAGCGATCGTGAATGCTGTAAACTGCGCATGCTAGTAAATTTTTGCGATCTGCGGACAGACTAGCTGCCGTGGCGACCGCGAGCAGACGAAATGATTTGGTTCGACGGCACACAACGTGAACGATCGTTCAAGTTGAAGATGACGGAGACACACCACATACCTTTACGGTCGTTCAGACACTTTTTACTCTATCTAGCTTCGCAGTTCTTGAAATTCCGACCGGCAAATGTTACGTTGGCCGTCTTGTTTACATCAGTCGTACGCCGGAAGCACGAACCGCCACCACGGTGTCCGCCACCGTCGCCACTGATTACACGTTACAGAATGTTTCACATGTTTACTAGAAGATGGCGCCACCGTTAAGCCCAATCATCATCATCGTTTACACGGTCGTGCCACTTTCACGATTCGCTAAAGTATGTTAAATTTGAGGTACGGTTTCACGGAACGGACCAGCTGTACCGTTCGTGATTTCGGAACCGTTTGCTTGAAAAACGACTCGCTAAAACTCCCTATTGCCGCGCGCGCAGCTTGCCAAGTAGGCAGCGCGCGCGTGGCCTAACGGTTATCGCGCTTCCTTTCCAAGCTGAAAGCCAGGGTTCGATTCCTGGCCGCGGAGGCACGATTTTTGTAGACTCTGTAAAGTAATGTTCTGGTAAATTCGAGAACCGTGTTGCTTGTTCGAGGTCGGAATATTCTACACGCCGAACCTTCCACGCCGATTACTCCAGAAGCCCACACGTGTACATAAGGGGCTCCGCGTGGCGATCTGCAGTCAGTCTCGCCCCAGCGTTCGTCTCCGCTGCTACGCCGACTTCGACGCCCGCGACGCTCTGTTATTATCTTTTGTACCTTTTATTTTTGGCACAAGTTCGTCACATTAAACGTTTATTCCTTGCTGTTTATTTTTTGTTTTTCGTCACCACCCGTGACAATATATACACAGATTATTACCCTATCCGCATCGCACCCAATCGCACAATCAAAAAGAGCCATAAAAAAAAAATCATTTTACTAAGAGTGAAATGGCGTTTTAGGATGGGCGTCTTTAAGTGTGCGATTGGTTACGATACCTATTGGGCAATAATGTGCGTATATATAGATGACGATGCTGCTATTAAAAAGTAGTGGCTAAAAAAGTGCTGTTCTGTCGTGTGTGTGCATCGCTATTTTCCCCGTTTTTGTTCGGACTTTTAACATTTTATTCAGTACACGGCAGAATTGAATACGATCCTAATAGGTGAAATGTGAACTGGAAAGTTGAAAACAGAAGTGAAAAAATATAGATATCAAATGTTTTCTTTTTCCTTTCATGCAGGGTTAAAATAAGCTGCTGACATGATTCAGCGACCTTTAGTACATTCATTCCAAATGTTTTTTTTTTTTCAGACTGGTTCTTGTCTGGAACCGAAATTGACGACTGTATGGATATTATTGAACATGGCGGAAGGATAAAGTGCGGACTTGAAGGATCTGGTGTGAGTCTTTGGAGGCGTAGAAAACAATCCATTAAAAAGTAGTTATTGGTTTAGATAATCCAAAGCGACTTCCTAAATTTTATAATCGGGATCGTTGAAAACCTTTTTATCCAAATACTGTGTAGGGTATGAAACGCCGTACGTTATGAAACACGCACAAGCTAACCGAGTTATGGACATATCGCGTAAACATAAGAGTACTTGAGTGAAAATGCTTTTTTTACAGCGTCATTTCTACTGGTGTCAGGTGAAACATTTAGCTTGACAAGCTCGAACGCTGTAGCCATTCAAGAGGTTAAAACAGCTAGACTTGAGCAATCCAGAAGAGCTTTATTTTTAATGTATTTTTTTTGGTATGTTTCACTCACTGATCTCAATGACAATTGCTGGATCGCGTTTGCCCGCTCTGCGAATGCGGTCACTGGCGGCCATCTTTAGGTAGAATTATATTACCTCTAGCCAAGGTACAGCTCCTGCTGCCACTGTCATCCATCCATGGCAGACAGCGTTTTGGCAGGTATGGTGGCAGGCTGCCGTCAAAATAGGGTGGATGATATTTCGTGCTTGATTGAAATTGTTTGACGAAACATGTTTTTGAAACCCAGCGTGAACGGTAGCCCGATCTTTGAGGACCCGGTGAAAGTTTCACTAAATCGCAGCAGGGAAAAGCAGTACAGCTCGCATCGAAAGTCGCATCAAAATTAGCATCGAAAGCAGACGCCGGTAAGGAGTCTGCTTTCGATGCGAGCTGCGCTGCTTTCCCCCGGTGCTGCGCTTTCGTAGAACTTCCTCCGGGCCCTCAAAGATGAGGCTACCGTTCACGCCGGGTTTCAAGAATCTGCGTCGTCGAACAACTTCAATCAAGCACGAAATATCTCCCCCGGTACAGTGTACTAGATCCACGGCTATTTTATGGTACCCTGCCGCCATTGCGCTGTACGCCATATTACTATGATGGCTAGAGATGATATAACTCTACCTAAAGATGGCCGCCAGTGACCGCCTTCCGGTCCATAGCCGGAGCTGGTCAAACGCGATCCAGCAAATAGACATAGAGATCAGTGATTTCACTAGCCAAAAAAAAAAGAAAGAAAAAGCGAAAGTCAATTTCTTCGCTATGAACATGCGTGCAACTATTTACTGATAATATTTTCTACTAATGAGTGCCTGAAGTTTAAGTTTGTACTGCCTCATATCGTTTAGTTTAAACATAGGTTACTTCTACTATAGCCCCTTTTTTAACAAGTTATTGAAAATAACCCCTTGTATACAGTTCTGACAAGCAAACTTTGCGCAAAATAAAATTACGGGTGATATGTCAGACGGTGAAAACGGAGCTGCGGCTGGAGCTTTACTTTCGCTTTACATTTTCAGGCATGCAATCCTTGTGCACCCAAAATACTTTGAGACCTGACAGTGCCTTTGTCTTTTTCGAGAAATCAAGTAAACAAATCCCACCGCCAAAAGGCTTACACCCCAGTTCAAATATTTTGTGATCTTTGCTGATTCACTTGTTTCACATGGCCCGCACGGCCCCACCTTTTGCAAGGTGCAACAAAGATATTTTAAAATACATCCAGTTAGAACCACCAGCCCCGACGAGATCGGTTCCTCCCCTAGCGAGGAGGCGCAGCGACGAAGCGGTCGTCCTTTTTTTTTTTTTAGACGATTAAAGCGGCGTGGGCTTTTTAGTGGTTTCTGTAAAATGAGTCAGATGGTAGAGGTTGCACTGTTGGAGTCCAAGTCGGCGGGCTTGACCCGGTCGATGGACACAACTTGTTCTTTATTTTTGATTAGCACAGTGAATGTTTTAGTGTCACGACAAACCACCGGAAAAGGGCCATCGTAAGGAGGTTGGAGAGGCGCTTTGACACCGTCGTGCCGAATGAATACATATGTACACTTCTCCAGATGAGGGCTGACGAAGGTACTCCGTGTGGAAGGAATTCTTGTAGCAACGGCGCGTAGGTCTTGCTTTAGAAGCCGCAACCGGTGAGCATAGTCCTCGGTTCTGTCAATTGGGGGATTGAAGGCTTGTTGGAAAACTTCTCCTGGTATTCGGAGAGACGTTCCATAGACCAGCTCGGCTGCACTGCAGTTCAATTCAGTTTTAAACGCTGTGCGTATGCCGAGCATTATCAAAGGCTGGGTTTCCGTCCATGACGCAGTCTTGTCCTGTGTTTTGATGGCAGCTTTCAATTGCCGATGAAAGCGCTCTACCATTCCATTAGAAATTTGGTGGTAGGCGGTGGTGTGAATATGCTGTGCGCCCAGTAAGTGAGGGAGGTTTTTAAACATTGAAGATTCAGATTGTCGTCAGCGGTCCGTGATGATGGTTTGTGGCACCCCGAAACGACTCACCCACATGTCGACAAGCGTCCTAGCGACCGTCAGTGCCGTTGCATCTTTCATAGGGGCGACCTCCGGCCATCGCGTAAACCTGTCGACACATGTCAGGAGGTATCGGTAATCGTGTGATGAAGGAAGGTGGCCCACAAGGTCGACATGAATGTGAGCAAAACGAGCGTCAGGTGGATTGAAGGAGGTCAAGGGGGTGACCGTGTACGTTGAATCTTGCTACGTTGACAGTCAATGCATGTTCTTGCCCATTCGCGCACGTCGGTGTTCACACGCCGCCACACGAACCGGGAGCTAACTAGTCGTTGGGTGGCTCGTATGCCAGGGTGGGCCAATGTGTGGATGGCATCAAAAACCTTACGCCGAAACGAAAGAGGAACGAACGGGCGGGGTTGACCCGTTGACACGTCACATACCACGGTGTTAGAAGAACCATGCCTGGGGACATCCTCAAAAACCAGTGTCTTAGATGATGTCCGTAAACGTTGGTGCTCCGCCTTGTTAAGCCCTCATCTGTCTTGATGAAGCCAGTGAAACTAAATGTTCGGTTGGGCCCTCCTTGAAATTTCGTTAATCTATCGGTGCCACGACTTTATGCGGTTGTGAGTCCATGATTCGCGGTTTTTGTGGTAGTTGAACTGTTAAGTGGCAACATTTGGATTCATCCAGGCACTATAAAAAAAATCAAGCTCAAGGGTGACGACTGAAGCAACGAGATAAGTATTTCCTGGTACAAAAAGAGCTACGTTCGCTGTGCGTCGGAGACTGGAACGAATGCCAGTGCTACTATTTTTCTAATAAGTCACCTAATCGTACCGTTTTGCAAGCACGCCGTTTGCAGACCGCCTCTTTTGCACTACCGCCTACTCTCGCTTCGTGAAATAGTAATGACACCCTTGGTGGATTTTGTGTCGGAAATATAATTAACATTTCCGCGATCAATGTCCGATCGATGTTTGTGAGAAATAATTAAGAATCGGGGAACATGATACCTGTAGCGTTAAACATATTCCTCAAGTTTTGAAATGCTGGGACACATGTCTCACGAGATCTTCGGGACAAAAAGAAGTACACTGCAGGTGATTGTTTCTACGTGAATTGTGAAAAGTTGGTCAATGATGTAGGACACAACAAACAAATATGCCGTCACCAACATCATTTTTACTGACGACAAACGCAGAAAATGTTAAGATTCATGATTTATGAACACTACTCTCATCAATTATCAAAAAGGGACGGCGGTCTCCGATCTGCTGGTACAAGGGGCTGAGTTGAATGTCATCCATATTTGCAGGAAGTTCCGGCTGATGACGGCGCCGTTCTCTGTACATGGCATTCCTCAGCCTTGTGAAAGTGGGAACTTCTGTAATTACCTCGGCCGCGTTCAAACAAGAAATAAGATCAAAAACATTCTTTTCAAGCCTTAATCAGAAATTATAGTGTTTATTCGCTTTTCACAGAATGTATAGCTTGAGACACGTGAAGGAGCTCCTCATTGTAGACTGTCGGCGAAGCGACGTGTGGATTTAACGCAACTCTTTTTTCTTAGTGCCACCGTAATCAAGCCCTTGACAACGATTGTTTCTTCAGGAGGATGATTGTGATCTTCTGAAGAAATAATAAATGGAACGTGGAATGTATTACGGGCATTCACAAAAACGTTCAAAACCGCATCAAATACTCTCATTTATCCGTTACAGAGTTGAATATACGCTTTACTTACGAAGGGTTGTCCCGAGATAGTCTCCTTCCGTCAGAACTGGCGCAGATCAGCTGGATGAACTACAGCTGGCGTGACGCCACAGAGCAGTCCCATTCGCATTCGAGCGTTTATCGTGGAACGTATATCCACCGAATGTAAACACTGCATTTTCTTCTGGGATTGCACGATTCCTAAGTCGATTACAGCAAGAGCTTTATGCCAGTTGAGACCAAGCAGGAAAGTGAGAAAGGGTGAAGTGATAAATTTTAAAATGAAAAGTTATTTTTGTGCCGGCTAAAACGGGAAGGGAGAAACGAGAAGGCTGAAATGAAAATCGGTTGAAATGAAAACCACCCTTCCGATGTGCCCCACAACACCCACGTCGCTAGACCAATTTTGTTGAAAATCACATATGAGAAGTGCACCTTTTGTCGTACCGCGTCGATTGCATGCGTCTGGTCACAGTAGGTCTACCGATTTATTCGACTCCTTGAACCAACGTGTACAATATTTTCACACGTAATATTCGGGTCACATAGTCGGAGTACAAGGAAGGGCACTTATAGTGCTTTAGGCAAATGGCTGTCGAATCCTGTTTTTGTTTGAATTACTAAAGTTAGATTTGTCGCGCAGAAGCTGGGTGAAGGGGCCTGATATGCAAGTCAAATAAACCGAATTGGTGTATTTAAAAGCGTAATTTAGAGTATACTTCCAGGGAAGATCTTGCTAACCGAGTGTTAAAGATTAAGTACTTTCTCCCCACAGAGGTGGTCTCGTCACTTAAATATCTCTCTTGTGACTTTTTATCTGCCGGTTCAAGTACGCGCAGATATCAGAAAACTTCTTCTGGTGCAAATAAAGTTGTGCAGTGCCTCCTCAACGCCAATACAGAGAGAAGCCGTTGTGTTCATTAAGGGGTATTCACACGAGGGAGAAATCCCGGGGATTTCTCCCCGGCACGCGCATCCAACGACGAAAACGTCAGGCTTTGCGATGTGCAAAAGCCTCGCGTTTTCATCTCGTGATGCGCGCGTGCCGGGGAGAAATCCCGGGGATTTCTCCCTCGTGTGAATACCCCTTTAGAGACCCGCTGGAGTCTTGCTCTAAAGTGTACCTGCTTTTACATCAAGATCGACGCATGCGACGCAATCGACGCTAGTAGATGCATTTTGTATTAACTAGAGTGGTCGTCCACCTTCCCAAAGGTGGGAAACCACTCCTGTTTCTGACAAACTCTGCTACACAGCTCCTATCAAGTTGACATTTTTCATGGAGTATAGCGTACAGGACGGGGTATCCACATCCGCATGACGTACTTCCATCGTGCATCTCCCAATGTCATGCAGGCCTAGTTGATACACGAGGTCACAAAGGAGAGAGAGATAATAAACTTCATTTCCAAAGGGTTGCCTTGAGTTTCGTTGGGTTGGGGCCCTCAGTCCAGGGCTCCTGTGCTTTCGGCCGCTTACCTCGCTTTGTTGATAAACTGGCGCTGATCTTCGGAGTTGAGCTGAGCAGCATAGCTTTCAAGTTTCCAGGGTAAGGGTGTCGAGTGTGAGGAGGGAGGGATTTGTTGTGCAACTCCATGTGACATGCTATAAGGACAGATAGTCTCTGCAATGTGGACATTCGCCGGAATACCTAGTCAAATAAATATTATGTAGTATCGCTAAGTTGGGAAATGGGCTTGTCTGTAACTGCCTCCATGTGACTGCTTCCTCTCTTATGAGAGAATTGTGTGAAGTGGGGTAGTGCGCGCATCGTCCGCGCAGGTAGGACAATAACTCGGAATATTAGTTTGGAAGTGGGTGTATCTGTTCTGCCTTCTCACTGTCTGGTGCTCTGAAAGTTCCTGCTAGGGCTACGGCATGTCCTTGCCTGTTTCCATCCACTGTTTCGTGACCCGGTGCCCAAATCGCCCTAACGTGTTTTTTTTTTCGTTTCCCTTCACCTGGTTAGCTAATAGCCTTGCGGCCTCTGGAGATATGCTCCCTGTCCTAAGCCTTCGAATAACTGCATGACAGTCGGATAGAACGTGCGGTTGTGATGCTGGTGGATCGACTTGTGATGCCGATACACCAGGTCTCGTGCAGCCAAGACGCAGGTTTGGGCAGAGATATTCTAAAATTAATTTGGAAATACAAATACTGAGATACCTAACGCAAATATTTAAGATATTGTTACTGGAATGCATCTGTACAAAAGTATAGCGATACGTATCAGAGATACATTTGAAAAATATAAATATATTTGTATATACAGATACCGGAATACATTTTGCCAGGGCGGTATTACTCGCATATATTTTAAAATAATATTTTTGCGATGACAACTCTTGTATTACCTAAAATGGTACCATTTGTGATAGAGTAATAAAACAACTTTTTGCTACATATTCAATATTTTCATATGGAAGCAATACAAAACAAAAGTAAAGATCCGACTTTGCTGGTGCACCCTACTACATTTTATGAGAACTAGCTTTTCAAATAGTTCGTTGGTCAGCCGCTGCTGATTTGAAAAAAAAATTCTATTAGGAAACGAGATTAAGCGTTGCACAAGTGTCAACGAAGACGAGTTCATATTAAAACCAAAGAAGACCTTTTTCTCAGTGGGAAAGCTTTTAACGATGCAAATATTGTTTTTCTCGCTTCTTTCTAAACACGCAGACCTCGCTTGGAGGTGGTAATGGGTAGGCTTCGTTGGCATACGAAAAACGCGTCCTTCTAAGGCGAGAAACAAATCCTACAATAAACAGAAAAATTTATAATAACCGTGAGGTAAAGATTGAAGTTCAACTTTGACGATCTCGAGTCCGAAATTATTTTTTTCCGTGGAATTGCCATTTTCTTTTGATCATAAAGCTGTGGGAACTAAGATAGCCATCAATAAGTGGCAAATAATTTTCATCCAAAATGCAGAGCAGTTCTTCTCTAGACATACTGCACGCCTTCGAAGCAATATAACATAGACCCCTAAATTAATTTTATATCTACCCAAATATCCCCGACAGGTAGGGATCCTCTAGTTCCATGTCGGTACCTTTTCGGCAGTAACTTCAAGACGTAGACTTAAAATGAAATAATGTTCTTTTGTGTGATGATTTGAAGAAAAAATATTTACGCTCAGCCTAGTAAACTGGTATGGGAGTGTAATTTAGAGTTGTGAAGCTCGTACTCCCAGGCCTTCAATATTTTGATACAAAAAAAAAGTTAGCCCAACTGAAGCAACCCGGAAGACATTTCTTATCTGTGGAATATAGAGAAGGAAGTCACTAATGTTGGAGTCATAATGTTAGAAACAAACCCTCCTTCGCTTGATATATTAACAAAGCCTAGAGATTTCATTTATTGTACACCCGCCGGCAATATGAAGGTGAACACCTTACCTGGTTTCTTGCCTGTTTTACGGCTCCCTAAAGCTCTATTAACTCTCAACGTCTAAAATGTACGTGGCTTGGCGGTCTAAACTTTGCGTTCTAGCCATCTTCTGGAACAGAGCTTGTTCCAAAACTTGCAGGAGCGTCAAAAACAAAAAAAACGGCTGTTCACCTTCAGATCGCTCATGGGTGTATCTTCTACTCATCTGAAGCAAGAAATAATGAAGAAACAGTCTCTTGAGCATTCACTTGGGGGTCACTGATTTATCGAACATTGTAACGAGATAAATCGCTCCGTGTTTGTATTGCGATACAAGGAATACATGAAAAATATATTTCGATACTGAAATAAAAATACTGTGCAAAAATTGTATCACGATGCAGAAATATAAATACTAAGATGATTTCTGAAATTCTATCGCGATACACTTATTGTATCTCGAGAATGCCAAACCCTACCAAGGTGCAATCGAACCCAAGAAGCTCGCACTTGTATCCTCCATTGTGCAAGAATTCCACAACTTCGAGCAGAGGCCACACTTTCAAGAGAGATCTATTCTCACTGATCACACTTTGACTCTATAAACGTAAAGTTAGCTGCCGTTTGCTCGACTCACTGTTCAAGCGCGAACGCCGGTAGACGCGAAGTTAACCGCTTTTGTCTCTTCTGGCTGTTCGCACGTGAACGCCGGCGTCCGGCATTCGAACGAGTTCAAACATCGAGAGGAGACAAAGGCAGCTAGCTTGGCGTCTATCCACTAATAATTCCAACTAAAGGTCAGAACAAAAAAAAAAAAAAAAAAAAAAAAAAAAAACAGAAATAAAAATAAAATGAAAAGGAAATTATAATAGAAAATATAAATTTAAAGCGTCCGCCGCAGGCCCCAAAGGATTCTGCCGAAACACATTTTGTGTATGGCAACTTGATCCGTAGGATCGAGATAATATTTTGCGAACAAATTGATGCATTTTTGGTTTATGCAGCTTTGTTTAATTACTTATCTTTACTTTTTTTTTATCCATGACAATATGTGAATGTGTTTTAGGATCTCGATGATTATGATCCTGAATCCTGCCGATTTAGATGCAGTGGCGGCGCTAGGCCGGAGTTGCCGTATGGGGTTTGCTCCGGCGATAGAGTGGTAAGTCACGAGGAAATATTCTCGCTGCCTGCTCACTTTGTTAACTTTTGCAAGTGTCCTTGAGACCACAACTTTTCTATTTAATTTATAAAAGAATGTATTTATCAAACAAAAAAAAATGAAAGAAGTTTATAATTCTGTGTAATGCCGAATTAGACCGCAGCTCGTAAGGAAAAGGGGCGGGGCGGAGGGTATGCCCCGGCCTCCCCCTTTCCTCCTCCTCTCCTGCTCCCCTCCCATTTAGCGGGCAATTTTCGGTAAATTTCCAGCTTAATTTAGTGGACAAAATTCCCCGCTCAATTTAGCGGGAAAATGTTTCCGCTGAATTTTTGCTAAATATAGTGAACATATTTTTCTGCAGCGGGGAATTTTTTTTTTCTAAATTTAGCGGAGCAATTTTACCCTCGTTACGTCACGTGTGACCTCGCGAGGGTAAACGATTGGCGCTAAATTTAGCGGGGTAATTTTCCACTACATTTAGCGGGGAAATTTTACCCTCGTGAAGTCGCACGCGACGTCGCACGCTCATGGCCATAATGCAATGCGCGGTTACGCCTGCGCCGAAGGGGAACTTTCACCCTAGTGACGTCACACGTGACGTCACGCGCACACCCATCATGCAACGCGCGGTTACGCCGGCGACGACGCTCAAGCCGGAAACGGGCGCCTAAGAGCTGCGCTCTAAAAGCTAGGGCACAAACGAGCTGGTGAATGTTTAACATAATTTGGAACAAAACCCCGAGACTGAGGCTAAAACGAAGGAGTCAACCTAGCTTCTGTTAGCTTTTTGTCCGGTGTGCTCGGCATAATGTTGCTGAAATAAAGTTCAAAGTTCAAGTTCAAAGTTCAAAGGACAACACAACACGTACAGTCTCAAACACAGCTGAAATGTATCACAGAAGTGCGTGTTTATGTAGGGCTTCGGTGCTCCCACAAACCAAAAGAAGAGAATGAAGTGAGAACATTTTCCACACTAAAACATAAGAAGGATTAAACTCAAGAGACAACCCACACAGGACTTGGCAGAAATCCGAAACAACAAGCAAAAAAAGAAGTTGCGTTTAACCTTTATCATTTCACCCAAGCATCCAGATAAGAAACACAAAAAAAAGCTAGGTTTACTTTTTTTTGGAACAAACCAACAGGACAGTGAGCCAAGAAACCTTGAACATCGAACACCCAAACAAACACAAAAAAGAACAGAAAAAGAAAGATTGCTAGGGCTAACAAAGGCAATCCGATACTTAGGTTTGCGAGTGAAGTTGCTTAAAAACAAAACGATCAGATTTGTAGAAATCTTAACTTTGTATCTAAATTAAGGGATGGAGTATTTAGCGCATTACCATTAATAATGATAGTGAGCAACTATTTACTTACCGTGTGTGACCGCATCTATCGGTTAAGATAACTAAGGTGGACTGCAAGAGCGGTACACTATGAATGCACTCAATAGCATGTTTTGATAATTCTGAGGAGGGGCTCGGTTCTTAACGCAACGTTTTTACTCGGTTAATCGGTCATTGAGGCAGCAGTTGCTTTGCCTTATGTAGAAAAAGGCACAGTGGAAAGGAATTTTGTACAGTACACCCGGCACACAATTCTCATCCTTTTCATTGTGTTGTTCGGCACTTGCGGTCTTCGCGGAAACAAACGGGATCAAGCGACTTAGTCTAAAACCATTCTGAAACACTGTGCCGATACCGTAAGTGTTACCGTCCGATTTGAGATTGGGGCAGATACAATGGAAAAAATGAAGAAATACGTGTTTGGTGGGTATCGAAGCCCCCTGTCTCTTCGTTTTGAAGGAAACAAGGTACACTAACTCTTTAAAAAACATAATCCTTCGGGAAGAAACGTAAAAAAACACAAGCGAGCTGGTGAATGGCATTCATAGTAACCCTGAGACGAAGAGACTTCGTTGTTCTGTTCGTTTTTACAGCGGAGCTGTTAAGGGCTAGTTTTTCCAGTATCGTGGCCCCCGCAAAGAAATGAAGACACCGAACTCTGGACACCTACCGCCATCTATGAGCGACCGCGGCAAGTCACGTACCTCGTTGCCGCCGTCGCTGATTGATGGCGGCAGCCTTTCCACTCTGGCTTGGTTTTTTATTGTTCCTACGTCTCAGGGTTACTATGAATAATCTTCTGGATAGCCAGCCGTGCCAAAACGGTCAAAAAGGCATTGTAGCGAGGACTTAATGATTTTGAATGCGAGCATAATTTGTTCAGAGCACTGTTCACGCGGTTTCGGACAATGCGAGACTTAAGATATTTCGACTTGCAGCTACCAAAGGCAGGAGTTGCTTTGATGTTGTTTTCCCTTAGTGGCTAACACGAATCGACGGAGTTTTCAACTGGATTTCTTAGAACTGCTAGTGATTGTTTTAGCCCTTTCCACTGAAAACGGTAGCTCTGGAGCACCTTTAATGCAGGAAATTGTCTAGCGTGGCGGACAGAGAAGGATCACTGGTACAAACCAAGTTGTCGTTCACATAACGCCTTATAAGGACGGTATCAGAAGACACGTTCTGAATGAAATCATGTACATATAGATCTGAAGAAACTAGGTATATTTCCGAAAGAACTGTATCTACTGCCGAACCAATATATGCTGCTTGTTTCTCAATAAATTTGTTATCACCGTACTTAACAAACTTTGCCTGTAGATATAATTCTAAAAATTTGAGATCCCAGACAGCGATTCCAGACTGTGATTGACACCTGACAAGATTGATTTCCGAAAATTGACTAACCCGACTGTGACGTAGTGCACAGTCACGCACGCACTTATCTGTCGCAGTTACATGGTGGCAGAAGTGAGCGGTTCACGGCCAATGCACGGAACCGACACCGAAAGAGCTACCTGGTAGCACTGTAGCCTGGGCGGAGCAGTCATCGAACCAGAGACATGGCGCTCGAAGACCAACAACGTCGCCAGCTGCCAGCCACCCCCGTCACCACGTTACTGCCTCCCCCGAAACCCCTGGGCACAGCATGAGACGTCTGGTAGAGTTGAAAGACGTGGAGGCAAGAGTTCGAACTTTTCGCAACTGTAACCTACTTGGACCAGCAGCCGAAAGAGGTACAGGCAGCCACGTTTCTTATTGGTATAGGAGAAGACGCGCGCAAAACGTATAGCAACTTTGTGTTTGAAACTTACAAGGAAAGAAGCCACGTCAACGTACTTAAAGGAAAATTTGAAGCTTTCTATAAGCCAGCGCTGAATCTAGCCTATCACGAGTTCCGTTTCGCAAAGCGTGACCAGAAAGACGGTGAGAGTTTTAACGACTGGTTAACGGAGCTGCGTGCCCTCGGTAAAAGTTGTGAGTTTGGCGAGTTGGAAGAAACTTCAAGAAAAGCTTCTTTCTGAGAATGCGTCGTTCGCTAAAGCTGTCGAGATGTGCCGCGCTCGCGGACACGGTAAAGAGCAAAGCGACGAAATCCAGCCTCGCACAAAAAGTCACGCGGAAGTCAACGCACTTTCTCAGGTTAAAAGCCGTCGCTGTAGTAAATGCGCGATGGAGCATCTTAGCAGCAAAGCATGCCCCCCAAAGGACGGACATGCAAGAAATGCAGCAAACGCAATCATTTCGCGACAGCATGCAAAACGAAGACCACGAAGATTCCCGCGAGCGAGAATAAAGTTGCGTCACTTAAAGCCCGGGCGGACGATTTCTGGTTGGAAGCGTTATCACAACGCAGCAGAAAATACGATAGCCGGGGCCCTAAGCTGGACACTTGGCGAGGAAGTCGGCGAAAAATCTGCCGGCCGTGATTCGCCAACTCCGCACTTGACCTTGGCGCCTGCCAATCAGAGCCGCTGGATTCCTCGCCTTCTTTTTCGCCTAGTGTCAGATTAGGGCCCCTGGACAGCAATCATGAAGGTCGAGGGAACGCCTGTTGTTTGCAAGCTCGACACGGGCGCGAACTGCTCAGTCATATCAAGCGCTCAGCTGCAAGAGATAACAAAGAAGATACCAGAAAGCTGTGCCGTTGTTTTGAACACTTTTTTGGCTTTCAGAAGGAAGCAACACGACGTATTCAACTACGCATGACCGGTCCCGACGGAATGTTCGATGCAGAATTCTTTGTAGTAGAAGCAACGTACAGTCGGGGACAAAAGTCTCCAAGACACGCGAGCTGCAACTGAAACGCATTGCTCTGCCATCTGCTGGCGGGTCACCTGGTTTCAAGATCACAGAAAAGCGCATGCGCGTCCTACTGTGCCTGCAAACATGTGCGCTTTCCCGCTCTTCTGCGGCGCGGCGCCCAACTCGGAATCGGGCGCGTGGTACAGCCTCGGAGATAGCGCTTACTGACATGGCACCTGTAGCTCGACTGAGCGATAAGCTGAACTGGTTATAAAGCAAGGTGCGCTGACACGGCGAGATGCGGCGAAATGCCCCAGGCGGTATCTCGAGTTTCGGAATGTGTAGCAGACGCTCGTCAGCCGCCAGCGCTATCTCCGAGGCGGTACCACGCGCCCGATTCCGAGTTAGGCGCTGTGCCCCAGAAGAGCGGGAAAACACACATGTTTGCAGGCAGAGTAGGACGCGCATGCGCTTTTGTGTGATCTCGAAACCAGGCGACCCGCCGGCAGATGGCAGAGCAATGCGTTTCAGCCGCAGCTCGCACGTCCTGGGGACTTTTGTCCCCGACTGTACCTGTAGCTTTGTGCGACGCAGTTGCAGAAAAACTGGGTTTGCTTCGTCGAATAGCTTCGGTGGAGCAACAAGATCTCTACGCCATGGCCGTCCCTTACGAAGACGTTTTCACTGGCTTAGGCCAGCTCAAAGGGTTCGTCTACCACCTGAAGCTCAAGCCAGGTTTTCAAGGGGTGGTCAAGCCAGCACGCCGCGTTACGTTTGCAGTCCAGGAGAAAGTAAAGGCGGAACTGAACCGTATGGAAGCAGCAGTAGTGATCGCCAAACTGACAGAGCCCATGGAATGGTCCAGCTACATGGTCGTAGTTACTAAAAATGACAAGGTACGCATATGTC